CCAAAGTTTGGAAGAATGGTAAGTAGGGTCCACCTGGCGAGATAGCAAAGCGGAGGGCCTGTCCCCCTGCCCCCAGGAGAACGGATTCTAACCGATCCCGCTTTGTATATTAATTCTCATCTAGCCCCATTTCAAATATAAGTTAACTTTAAATATTTAAATATTCAAGGGCCAGGGATTGAGCTCAGGGGCACCGGCACCTGCCTTGCAAACAAAAGGTCCTGAGTTCAACCCCCAGTACAGAAAAAAGAAAAGAAAAAAAAATATTTAAATACTCAAGTATCATTTAGAATATTCATTTTTTAGTTATTAGCATGGTGATTCCCATTGGTGATTCATTTAACTATTAGTTAAGATATTTATACATGCAGCCTCCTCTTGGACACTAGATATAGTCTACTGGCGTTCTGAAATCCACAGCCTGGCGGCTGGGCCCCAGGGAGCCCCTCACTGAGAGCCAGCTTGGCTCCTTTCTTCCTCCCCGTCAGCCTCGGCCATGCTCTTTCTATTTCAATTCCACAAATTAATTTCCAAGATGTTCATGGTCTTTGCCTTGCAGCTGTGAATCCCGCACTCACCTGAAGGGAGCCGCACAGAGACACAGGAGGTTAGAATTCTATGGCCCACCTGCCTCACTAGCATTGTCCCTGACATTTCCCCACGCGCCAGGAGCCCTTTCTGCTGAATCTTCCCAATTTTCCTCATTTTCTTTTACTATCCTGAGGGCAGCTGTTGTATGCCTAGATCTATGAACCCACTTCAAAGAATTTCAATAAAATCAACCCAGGAATAAAGAAACAACAACAACAAAAAGATAGACTTGTTTTCTGCCAGTGAACCCCAAACACCAATCTCAGGGTTCGGAGAAGAGGGGCCCAGAGTGCAGCACCACCACCAGATGAGCCCACCCTCATAAATCCACTGACTCACCTAGGACCAGAGCCAGGGGGCCTTGGGAGTGACAGAAAATTGTCCCTGCCAGAAAGTTCGCAGTCTGGGAAAGATTTTTTCAGCCGATAAAATACAATTCAGAAATACTTTACCCACATGCTCTTTAATACGGTGTTTTATAAAGCTGTCCGACAGACAAAGTACAAACCCAGGCGCGTGCAGCACCAAACCTCCTCAGCAGTCACACAGACTTGACAAGGCACCCGGAGTGGGTGGGGCCTGCTATTCTGCAGGTGCGCCCAGCTGCCGGAGAGCAGGAGTACAAGCCCACTGGGGGTGCCTTCCCCCCTCAAAAGCAACCTGGGAAGGGAAGAATGCTAGCAGGTCAGAAGCAAAGGCACAGATGCGTTCCTGTAAATGTAAGTTTACAAGAACGGCAACAAAAAAAAACAGGTTTTCTTCTCATCTCGATCTCACTACTCTCCCAAACCTCTAAGGAAACCAACTGTGACTCACATATTCAATATTTCTTTCTGAAACACAGTAATAATACATCTTGCATTCTTTCGTCCTTAGAATTCAAAGGAGAAAAACTGAGACTTTTAATCCCTTGGCGTTAATGAAATGCGGGATGGGGAAATAAACTGTATGGCAATCCGATAAGATCACCAGCCCTGCAAACACATTTTTCATGCTCAATTTCCATCTCTTTCCTGCTAGGAAAAGTCAAATTCGAATCCCAGTGGAAGTCAGTGTCTGTCTGGGTGGAACGGCCCATGAAGCACAGTGTCTTATCTTCGCGTGTTTCTGCGGGAACAGCTGGCTCGCCTCCAATGTCCCCCTAAGTGAGGTTAACATGGCGAAAGGTACTGACGCGTCACTCGGCCTTCTGGTGCCGGGCCTCTGGGACCAGGCGCGAGATTCACACTTGACACAGCTACCACAGAAGCTGCACGAAGAACTGGTCCGGGGCTCAGAGCTCCTCACAAACCACATCCGGCACCCACCTGAGCAGGTTCTGGTTCACAGAACAAAAGTGCAATCCTCATCTTCGGGGCTCTCACCACTGGGTTTCCTGACGGCCAACCAGGGCATCCCACACCTGCCCTGCATGAGATTTTCACCACTGGCTACTTTTGATCCAAACAAAAACAATTTTTTTTCCTATCTTTTCTACGCTCCCACCCCGAGGTTTCAGTGTGGGCAGCCTCACCTGGAGCCTCTCCCTCCAGAACACAGCAGTTCTGTTTCTCCTCCCTTTGGGGTCATTATGCTTTCACGTAGGCAACAGAGTTTCAGTTCCAGAGCTCAGGACAAGCGAGTGCGTAAAGATGTGCCCTTACACTGTCCGTGGTGTTCAGCCCATGCCTTTCCAGAGGCCAAGGGCTGGACCAACCTCATCTCCCTGCCTGGCCCTGAGCAGCACCGTCCTAAACGAGCCAAGGCAAGAAGAGAGCCAGGGCAGGGAATCGCCGGCCTGGAGCCGGCTCTCCTCAAACGGGTCTGTGGTCTAATTAAGCCCTGTGAGTCTTACGTAACTGGGATGACTCCCACCCCTTCACAGGCAGGGCGCAGGTGTGTCGCGTTTTAAATCACATCTGCAGGTGCATCTTCCTGCCTTCAAGTCTTCTCCTGGCATTCCTAAATGAGGGAAAAGCAACTAACAGACACCAAAGTGAGGATCTGGGACTGTTTGTCCTTGTTCCTGGGATGCTGTTTTGTAAGGTGGCTAAGAATAAAAGGAGGCCTTTTCTTTTCGCTGTGTGGAGAGCCAGCGGTCAGAGAGGAGCGTGCGCCTCTCAGGCCAGGGCTCTGGTGGGGAGCACCTCCGATCCAGCTGACAGACTTAAGCTTGCACTTTGATCCCTGCTAAATCATCTCCAGTTCATCTCCAGAGTTGCTCCAGGCACATCTGACACACTTTAATACCGAAATGCAAATCAGACGCCCCCACAAACCACCTCCGCTCTCACATTGCCCTAAATTTGGACTTTATTTCCCCATTCTCCTTGAGCTGTTCTTTTCAATCACATGTCAGTCACCCCAAAACTGTGGCTCCAGGGGATGAAGCTAACAGTGTGTTGTGAAGTCGCCCCATCTAAGGCCAGCTCTGAGCTCCATTTGCTGCTCCCCCTTTCCCTCGAGGCCAGAAGACCCCAACCCCCAGGAACACCTGGCCTCTGGGGTCTTCCCTGCCTGGCTGGCTCTGCACCAGCTCCAGGGGCAGCCTGTGAGCTTGGGGGCAACCACAAGGGGCCCCAAGCCCAGTGGCCCAACATAGCAACTGTTTGCCCTCCAGACCCAAATAAATCCTCCCAGAAGAACCCGATGGAATCCGCGGCTGTGGCCCTCTCGGGTAACTGGTCACACAGCAAGCAGCGTTCCTCTGAAGTCCATTCCTGCCTGAGAAGCGTTACAGCCAGAAGCCACATTTAAATCACCCCACTGAGAAGAGCTTCGGGAGGAGGACCCAGTGCCCTGAGTAGCAAGGAGCTTCTGTTCCACTTTATTAAACGTTTTAAGCAGATTTCAGCTTCACTGAAAGGACAAATTCCTGCTCCCCAAGGAGCCTGTGCCCAGGAACCTGGAGCCCAGCCAGGAGCAGAGGTCAGAGGCCGGGTCCCTGGGTAGGGAGCAGGGGAGGGGCCAGAAGGGTTTGGGGTGGGCTTTGTTGGGGGCTCTCATCCAGCCCCACACTGACAGGGCGTGGGGGAGCCCCAGCCCAGGGGTGGCCACCTTCTCACAGAGACAGTCCAGCCTGTGCTGGTGCAGACCCTTCTACAGGGCATGGTTAAGGGGCTATGAAGGAAAGCCGTCCGCCTGCCAGCTCTTTTCTTTGCAAGAAAGGTGAGCAGAACTCCCCGTGGATCCGGCAGACTGCCCACCCCTGAGGGCACGGTGGACAGAGGCCTCTCCCTCCTCCTTGCCATTTCCGGGCTGGCCTCGTTCCCTCCTCCCTGTTCCTTGCTATTCAGAGAATCCGAGGCCTCAGACACCTGCGTGCATCTGGGCAACCCCGCCTTGCAGTCAAGCCCTGCTCTGCCATCCTCTAGCTGGTGACCTTGAACCCCGAGCTCTCCAATGAGAGCCTCAGTTTCCCCAGCTGTCAATCGGGAATGACAACAGCCCTATTGGCCGGGAAGCTCAAAGCCGGGACACCTGGGGGAGCGCTTGGCCCTCTGTTCCCGAGGCAAATGCTGGCTGCTTTAGCCGCTGTTGTTGCTGGAACTGGGGCCGGGGTTGCCGGGAGACCTCGCATCTCCCACCCACGCCTGCCTGTCCTTCCTCCGCTCCTGGCTGCATGGCGAGCCTCGTTCCTGAATCTGATAGTGCTTTTCCCCTCTGCCTGTCACGTTTAAATCAAAAGTCACCCGTCAGAGGGATAGAAGCAGTGACAAAGCGTTTTACTTCTGAAGTTAATTTTACTCCAGGCTCCCCCAGAAAAGATCACCCATCTGTCAAATTTCTAAAAGACGAAGAACCCAAACGAGCTTCAAAAGTAATTATTTAAGTGCCGACCGAGAGGAAATAGAAATGGACTTGGCTGGGCTGCGGAGCTGAACGAGAATGATACTCGGCTTCGCGGGAGAAGGGAAGAGATGGCAATGTTTTTACGGCGCCTTCGCCCGCTGAGCCCCGTTCTGTGCACACACTCAGGAAAGCCGCTTTTCGCCTGAAATTAGCCCCGCTTCCACCAGCCCCGCCCGTCTGCCGCCCGGCGTCTCCCAGGGCTCTGGTGAACACCAGCGCCCCCCGGACGCCCCCCAGGGCCGGGCGTCCCAGTCCCCACCCCGGCCCGGGCTGGCTTCCCGGGGTGCCCGCTCCCCACAGGGCGTACCCCGCCGACGCCCGAAGACACAGGGCTCCGGCTTTCTCCGCCAAGGTCTAAACCCAGAGTACTTCCCAAAGCCGCGATCGAATCAGGCGCCAGCAGCGAATGCCCTTCTCGCTCCCAGGCTGGTGCCCGAAAGTTGCAAACTTAACCGGCTCCTGCCGAGCCCTCCCGGCCGCGCTGCCCGGAGCAGCCTGTCGAGGCGGACACTCAAATCCAGAGCTGGCCGCTCTGCTGCGCCGGCCCCCTGCTCCCCGCGGCCCCCTGCTCCCCTCACCTCGCTCATGTTGGCCTCAGCTCCGAGCCGGTCCCGCCGCTCAGCACAGAGAGCACCGCTCAGGGTCCTGCTCCAGCGGTCCTGGCTTTCTCTTAAACGGAGCTGCCCGGTGGCATCATGCCTCCCGCCAGCCAATCAGAGCGCTTCACCTGTCCGCAGGGCGCGGGCATCCGAGAGCACCTGGAGCCCCCTGGCGGCGCGGAGCGGCGTAGCAGGTCCCTGCGCCGGTCCGCGGTCGGGAGCGAGAGAGGCAGGCTGGGGGCCGGGTGGGGCGGTCACTGTTGGTTGAGGGCGGAGCTGGCCTTGACGTGAATGTGCTTCTTGGCCCCTAAGAGTCTCATGGAGGGATTTGGGGATCGAGAGATCCTCATGCGAAGCGAGATAGATGAGACTCCAAGGGTTTCTCCACCACAAACTCAAAGCAAGCAATGTAAAGAACGGAGTGAAGGAGAGACGGTAGGAAACGGGGAGGTGGGTTTTCAGGGGATGGAAGGGGCGCTGGGAAAGGGGGAGAGGAAGGGGCAGGGGGTGGAAAATAACGATGTGCCTGTGTGTGAGCCTGAGCAAACCGATCTCATCACTGTGTGTCCTAAACATATGCTAATTAAATTTTCTTTTCATCTAATTTAAAAAGCTAAAAACAGTGACATAGTGGTGGCCACCGGGCTGCTGCTGTGTGTTGGTCACCGGGGGGCAGGCTGGCACACGCGGAGACTGCTCAGCATTCATGGGGAGGCAGCTGGCCTTTCCCAAGGAAGGATTCTCTCCACCGGGTGCACACAGACTCCCAGTATTCCCGGCCTTCCCAAAGCTGTGCGAATCCCCTCCCCGCCTTGGTGGCCCAGGCCCGGCCTTGGAGGTTCCACCTGCCTGGCCCCTCTGCCTCTGCCCAGTCTGCCTGCCCACCTACCTGAGCCTGGGCTGGAAGAACCGGAGCAGACGGTGTCAGGTGGGACAACAGCGTGCCTGGTTACGGGAGTAGAAGACGCCCTCAAGACCCTTCCACCGCTGCACACACACTGGCCTGCCCGCTGGTCTGGCCACTTTCCACAGCAGTTCTGGGGTCTTCTTCCTGAGCGGCTCCAGGGGGAGTGATCAAAAGTTCAGCAAATCCTGCTGCAAGAGCAGCAGGAAAGGCAGCTCACGAAAACTTCACAATGTTTCCTCTCTACCTGATTCACCACATCCCACACGGTTGGACTTCTGGCTCTTCCCCAAGGTCAAAATGACTGTGAAAGGGAAACATTTTAAATCCATTCAGGACAATGAGGCAGCCAGGACAGTGTAGCTAAAGACATTCAAGAAAGAGGACTCCAGAGCTGCTGCAGGAAGGGGCAAGGAGGATGGGAGGAGGGTGTTTGAAGTGAGAGAGAAAATTTTTACGGAAATTGATGGCAATGGGCCTTTTCTTTATTATTGTTATTGAACTCAGAACCTTGCACTTGCAAAGGAAGCAGGGCACCACTGAGCTAAATCCCTGGCCCTGGCAATGGGCCTTTTACTATAGATTTTTTAAATTTTAACATTCACTATCTTTACAATACCTAGTATTTCATACATGTACATATATAATAAACATAAATGATGTATCTGTGTATCCCGACTGCACCATTTGCACAGTCCTTATGCTGTCCCTCTTCTTCCCCAGTTCACCCCATGAAGGCCCAGGCAGGATGCCCCCGGGTGCCTAGGGGGCCGGAAGTGGGAGATAATGAAGAAAAGGACTCCAGACTGCAGTGTTTTCTGCCAACTCCAGCCATACAGAGGGAGGGCCCACATGAGCAGGGGCCTCAGGACCCCTCAGAAATAGGGGCACCTGTCTCACTGGGGTCTTGAGCCCCCAGCAGCCATGGCCACAGAGCCCCCTGAGTGGCTTTGCAGGCTGAGCTCCTCGGTGGGGGCACAGAGAACTGTCCTGCCTTGCTGAGAAGTGCTGGGCGTGGGGAGCCCGGCGGGGCTGATGTAGAGGATGTAGCCGGGGTGAAGTGAGGAGGAGTTGTAAAGACTCTGGGAGAGAAGATGGGTGGTGCCCTGGGCCGAATGGCGCCCTGACCCCCAAATTCCTCTGCTGAGTCCCTGATCTACACTGTGCTGTGTTTACAGACCGGTCTTTACAGGGTGACTTGTTACAGGAAGTCACTGGGTTTGTCCCCGATCCAGAGCCCCTGGTGTCACAAGAAGAGGCAATCAACACGCTTCCAGAGGGAGGAGCACAAGGGACACAGGGAGAAGACGCCGTGTGTGAGCGGAGGACAGAGGCCCAGGACCCTGTTGCCAACCTCTGGCTGCAGGACTGGGACAGGACATGGGGCTGTGGTCAGAGCCCGGCAGTGGCACCTCTTGGGGCAGCCTTTGCAAAGCCGTACCCACAACCCGGCCCTGAGGAGACCGCCAGGGAAGGAGCAGAAACCCGAGGGGCTGGAGTGACCATCTGCCCAGTAGGGTCTATGTCTGCAACGGGGCTGGCAACCCACCTGTCCACCTCCCGGGGTCTCCAGTAGGTGCAGCCACGAAGGCAGAGCCACGCTGCCACCAACACCCATAGCAGCATGCCCTGCCACCGCCACGCCAGGGTCACAAGGATGGCCTGGGCCTGGTCAGGACCCGGGGACAAGGACCGTGGGCAGGAGGTGTCCTTGCAATATACACATGCCACACCCACACAGGTGCACACACAAATAGGAGGAAAAGGAACTAGGGGAAGGGGAAGAAAGAAGGAAAAGGAAAAAATATGAGATAAGAAATAAATGGAAATGAAGCTTTTGCAAATAGGGAGGGGTAGAAGGGTTGAAGGGAGGGCAGGGGAATGGGGAAAAAATACGAGCCAAGATACGTCACGTAAAGGTACAAGATCTCAATGATGCATGTAAATGTATTGTTTACCTGAAATGTACCGTAAAAGAATTGAAGAGGAACACACACACACACACACACACACACACACTCACAGGCACACACTTGCACACTTGCCTCACTCCTTCCAAGCTTTTCGGGCTTGCCATCCTCCTACTCCACACACTCCCTTCTCTCTGCCTAGGGTGTGCTGGGCTACCACCCCCCTTCCTGCCGTGATCCCTGTCCACGGAGGTGGGGTCCCAGGATCCCCATGGGTACTGGAATCTGCAGACGCAGAGATCCCGTGTGGAAACGCTGTGGTGTCTGTGTGGAGCGCTCACCAATCCTGCACACCCTCGCTCAACCTGAGATGAGAGCTCCGGTGCTGTGAGCACCTGTCACGTGTGCTGCTGCGGAATGACGAGAAAAGGTCTGCACATGCTCCACACAGGTAGAATTACTTCCAAATGTTTTAACCCAGTGTTGGTTGAATCTGCAGTCTTGGACACGGAAGGCTGTTCGTGTGTAGTTTTCAAGGCAAACGGTGCCAGCAAGCCCTGCATATGACTTCCTTCCAGTCACCCGAACTCTGCCTTAAACACGGAGTCAGGAGCCAGCCCTCAGGACCCAGGCCCTGGCACAAGGGGGCACTCTGTGCCTGACAGCGGCGAGGTCTCTCCGTGGCTCAGGGTCTGGTCACCTCGGGGACGCATGTGAAAGCCTGCACCTGCCACCTTCAGCAGAAACACAGGCTCGGTGTGCGGGGCTGAGAAACGGATGTTGAAGGAGCTTCCGAGGAAGAGACCACAGCATCGGATGTCAGACTTCAGGGAGAGCCTCCCCGGCTGAATTAAAATATAGACCCATGGTCCCGTGATTTATGAAAAATATACGAGGGTGCTGTGATCAAAAGCTGTGATGAATGTTTAGATTTTTTTAAGCAGTTAGTCCAGCGAAAGACACATTGTTGTTAACCTCAAAGCTCTGCGCTCCCTCTGTACACACCCTCGCTCTGCTCACATCGTCCCGGCCCCTTCCTGCCGCAGCACTGGAGCCCTTTCCTGAGTGTCTTTAGCTGCTCTGTCCTGGCTGCCTCGATTTCCCGAGTGGATTCAAAACGTCTCCTTTCCTGGCCATTTTGACTTTGGAAAAGAACCAGAGGTTGCCAGGTGCCAGATCCGGTGCCTGAGGAGGGTGAGGAACCAGCGTTGTGTTTTCACGAGCTGCCTTCCTGCTGCGCTCGGCCGAGGCAGTCACTGTGCTCGTCATCACATCTCATGAAGACCCTCAGGAAAGAGGACCGCGGAGCTGCTGCAGACAGCGGCCGGGACACGGGATGAGGGTGTCCAAGTGAGGGGAGGTCCTTGAGCGGGACTCACAGCGATGTGTCTTTTACTGAAACAAGTTTTTAAATTTGAACATTTTTCTAATTTGATTTGTGTGTATGCGTGTGTGCACGCGCCTCTGTGCACAATGAAGACCAATTACTTACATCTCTTGGATGCACCATCCTGCTTGGTGGGCAGGGCTGGCCTTGGAGAGCCTGCAGTTTCGCTGTGTGTGGGTGGCATAGGTCTTCCCCTCACCAGACTTTTTGTCTAAAGCAACATTTGTAAACAATTTCGGGCCTAAGGGACATTTTAGAGCCACCCCCACTCCCCCCACACAGCTGGCTGTCTTCCCGCTCTGTGCCTGCTCACTTCCTCCACGTGGGGAAGACACGGCTCTCTCCCCGCCCTGCACTGGAGCCGTCAGCCGGGACAGAGCACGGTGCCCTCCCTAGGATGGAGCCCCAGGCCCGGCCTCCACAGCCCCCTCTTCTGCCGACCTTCTCTACTCCCAAGCTGCCCCGCGGCCTTGGCATCTGTTTGCCACCCCCCGTGGATGGACCTGGGGCCTCCTGCATTCAATCCCCCATCTTCCTCCCTGCGGCCTTGAATGTCACTCTGTCCTCCAGATGCCAGCCCTCTGGACGTCTCTGTCCCCGCAGACCTGGAAACACAGCAACCCCACAGCCTCCCGGAAGCGCGTGCCGACGTCAGTGGAGCGTTAATGGGGCACTTGTTGAGCCAGCGTTCGCCTCCCACCTTGGGGACTTCGAGCTCCTTGAAAGAGTGAGAGAGGCCCTGCCCACAGCCCCGGTCACCCTCTCCTAGCCCATGCCTGGCTCGGAGCCCAGCGCCGAGTGGGCGTCCACACTTCCGAACAAACATCGCTGAGCATGAAGCGCGACGGAGGAAAGAAAGCTCTTTTGTCCTCCAGACCCAGGTGCACCTCCCAAA